ACATAGACCGATCTGTTTCATTTATAACTGGTGTTGGCTGCCTTAAGGCCTCAGGTTAGAGCAGGATATAAGGTTATAATAAATGAATAAGTTACAGGTAATGGTTGTGCAGAGTATGACTTTCCCCAACATCCACCTTACCACTGGCGGTAGGCCTGAGAGCCCCACCATCTCCACCATGGCCCGCTACTCAAGGACCCCAGCCAGTGCCTAGCAGAACTGAACCCCGCCTCCTGAACCATCAGCTGACATTACCCAGTGGCACCAACTGATTGACAGGAGGAGGTGGCCTCACAGACAAAACTGTAGCCCCCTGGTGGGCTAAGATTGGACTGTGGGCCAGAGGTGCCCTATCCCTGTAGCAGAACAAACGTCAAATAAAATGTACCGTAGTTGATATATCTGCTTGATAAAATCTCAAGAGAACGATCAGGTACATTAATCTCAATGGGTCTACTCTGAGTAAAACCTGACTACTACCCCCTCTAGATTTTTTTAGGATTAAAAAAACCTAGATCCTGCCTAGGTACCCATGTTCACTGCAATATATACTCTTGTGTATAAACTGTCATTGTTTTAATGCATCCTTGATTATCTCAGAAAGTCTCCACCAATCTGCTAAGTAAGCTACTCCAACATCCTTATTGCTGCCAGGCTTAATTAATTCCCCCCCCCCAGCATATTTTCAGTGTGTATTGTTGCTTATCACAAAATCTCAAAGAACAGCCGGAACACTAGTAGATCTCTGCTGGGTTCCAAAATTAACACATCACAAAACTTTCCTTGGCAGTTCCTTGAGGTTTTTGAAATTCAAATTATTTAAATTCAGGACAGACTCCATGCTGTTCAAATACCCAGAAGCTTATTGTTGCTCATTTACCTACATTAACAAATCAGAGGAGTTTAAACTAAGCTTTCTCTCTGCCATTCTGTGCCTTTCTTACAAACAGGCTATCAGCAGGTAAGCTTCGCTTTTTAAAAAAGTAACCCACCTGAGATGCAATTCCTGCTGAGTTTAGGCAGAGATATCTTGTTAAATCCCTGACATTTACACAGATCTTAGGGTAGACTATCATCTTTCACATTATGAAGTGACTTTTTTTGGCAATCTCGCTTAGGTAGAGAACTGCGTCCTGTGAATGATTGCACTAACACTGAAAACATTCAGAAATCAGTGAGAGAACATTTCAGTCTACCAAGGCATTCTTCTGTTGACTTGGAGATTGCCATACTGGAGACTAGCATGAACCTACTGCATAGGAGCTTAACAAGAAGTTCGCTTCTATACATTTGGGCTTAAATGGAGACAATGGTTTGGAAGTGTTAATTAGTATACCAAAATCACCTAATACACATTATTGTCCACCATACAAACAAACAAATCTGTGTACATAAAAATGAGGATTTCAGGCATCTGTGTCTAGTGTTAAAGGGTGAGGTTGTGTGACAGTTGGACTTATGTGCTTTGCCCTCCTCCTCTAGTTCACCCTAGGAATTCAGAAATCTTTGCTTCTGTTTTGGTTTTTTGGTTGGTTGTTTTTTTTACTAACCACAGCATATTGTTGCATCCAAACCTACTATGGTTAGTTTTAACTGGTTTACTAAAGTGTTTGCATTAAACCATGGTTTATGATGACTTTCTTTAGTAAATCATAGTTAAGATTAGGGTTTGAACATAACACTAAACCGAGGCCGATCAGAAACATAAGTGGGAACTTCTGATCCCTTCACGGCCACTCCGGAAGAGAGAGGAGGAGGGGAGTGTGCAGTCCTGAAGCGCACAGAGCTCATAGCACTAACCCATATTTTAGCATTGCATGTGAAGACAGCCTGCAACCTGGCACCTGGTTTTCAACATGCGGGCTTTGGGAGGAAGGAGTAACATTCAGTCATGTGAGCTCTCGCCCACAATTGAGAAAAAACAGCTGCTGGCTGTAAGAACTGGGCCTTGATTTTAGACTTGGGAATACACATCAGTTTATTCTCTGTCTTTCTTTGTTCTATTGCTGTTTAGGGGGCTATGTCTACAGCCACCTGCTTAATAGCCAAGTGCTAGGAATGAATGCTGGCTTTCTGCAAGTTCAGGGTTTAAGCTGAGTAAGGTTTGGGAATTTGTTTAGCATTAGCACATTCGTCTGAAAATCTGGCTCAGTCAGATTTCCCAGAATCATGTATGTTGGTGATGGAAAAGCATTTCTGCACATTTACACGTGATGTCCACACAATACAGGTTGGCTGTGGAAACACTAGCATAGCACAAATATTTCTTAGGGCAATTGCAGTGTGTAGAGCTGTCTGTGTGTATAGAGTTTGAAGCTACTGTTGTAGCTTTCCTATTTAGAGATTTCAGAAGCGAAATAACAAGCAATGCCATTTGCAGAACAGAAGAGAGGTCTCCAGCCTCATTTGTGGTTGTTAATGATGCTGCAACTGTTCAGCTCAGAATGTGCAGGCGCACGTCTTATACTGATGGGTAGATGGATGTTAAATGCCTATATTATAGCTGCACAGTGTAGCTGATAGCTTCTAACAGCTGTGCTAAATTTCAGACATTATACCACTTAAAATGATGTTCCTTCACTGATCCTCAATTCTGGATATTGAGACAGTAACAAAATTATGTTTAAGGTGTTGTTTGCAGGGACGTTTCTAGGTCCTTAAGAGACTTTTGGACGCAGCTCAGTGACACAAATTTGTATAAAACCTGTGTGTACTAGTTTCTTCTATGTATAGTTGAATATGTAGGCCCAGGATAGGGGAAGCCATCATGTACTAGTCAAAAAAGGAGGGAAAGGGCAGGAGATCAGGGGCCCAGTGGAAAAGACCCCCTGACAACCCACTTGTCTGTCTATATCTTATTCAATGATTTGGAACATGTTTAAGTTCTTATATGAATTGCTGCAATTCTGAACAAGCATTTACTGACTAATACATTTATGCAGTTGATTTCTCTCTCTTTTGTCTTCATAATTATTAACTTCTATTCAAAGGAGTGGTCACCTTCAATTCAGCTGTTATCCAGTGGCATGAACATCTTGCATGTTGACTTATTGATAGTAGAATCATTCTTTTTTATTTTTTATTAGCTTGGCTTGGAAAAGACCTGGCACATGAATACATCTTGTGTGGTAGAATGCCCTGTGAACTGCCAGCTGTCAGACTGGTCTCCGTGGTCTGAGTGCTCTCAGGCTTGTGGCCTAGCCGGTAAGTTTGGGAGATTCTCTTTGATGCTTAAACGTCTTAAAACATGAGCCTCCAGCTCATACCAGCCACTGAGAAACAGAAGGGGAAATTGCTTGGATAAAGAGATTTGTAGGGTTAGGGAGGTTTGCTTTGCCTGCCTGCAAGCTTCCCTTATGCCACGCTTGTGCTAAGAGGATCAGGATTGTCAAAATCCATTTCTGACTTAGATAATGGAAACGAGAGATGGCAAAACTCTGCATGAAACTATTGCAGGGGACTATATTTGTGACTGGCAGATCAGAGTAAACATAAAACAATTTTCCTGGCTTGTCGCTCAACTCGTGTGAAGTCACTCCATGTAGGGGAATGAGGCTTGTTCATATCTTTGCTTTCCAAGTCAAGGTATGATAGTCTAAACCACAGAATCATAGCATTGTGGAGTTGGGCCCACGAGGGTCATCCAGTCCAACCCCCCTGCAATGCAGGAATCTTTTGCCCAACATGGGGCTTGACCCATGGCCAAGATTAAGTGTCTCGTGCTCTACCGACTAAGCTATCCGTTGTTCATCAATATATACTTGGGGTCACTTATATGACATTTTCATCCCTCACCACATGCACAAGATACAGTAGTACCTCTGGTTACGTACTTAATTCGTTCTGGAGGTCTGTTCTTAACCTGAAACTGTTCTTAACCTGAAGCACCACTTTAGCTAATGGGGCCTCCCGCTGCCGCCGCACGATTTTTGTTCTCATCCTGAAGCAAGGTCCTTAACCCGAGGTACTATTTCTGGGTTAGCGGAGTCTGTAACCTGAAGCGTAATCCGAGGTACCACTGTAGTCATTTCTTTTGTGCTACCGTGTTGGGAAGGGCATCACACCACAACACTGCGTGCACTAACTGCATTCATGGCTAGAGGCATTTGACTTATTCAGCATCTCAGCAGGAGGCAGAGGATTATAGCTAGCTTCTAATATAGCTCTGCTGCCACTCAGTGGACTCTCAAGGGAAGCTTGTATAAAATTCCATTCCTCTGGGGACGGAATGTAACCCAAGTAGTCTTACAGCTGCACAAGAGGCAACAGGTATTATTATTATTTTAAAATAATGATTCTAATCATTCTCTTTTTATAACACTATTATGCCTTTTAACTAGGGGCTCATCCAGGCTTCCTTTTGTGTTGCGTTTCTAGGCATAGGCCTGGGCTTTGTGCTCGAGTGGTTGGTTTGTTTGCTTGCTTGTTTGTCCCAACGCTTTCCCTGGGGAAACCCATGTTTCACTGCTGAATTGGAGCAAATGGCAACCGGGTTTTCCACAGACTGCTGCTTTGCTTCATTTCATAGGTAAAATTTAGGTTTTCCAGGGGACAACAACACCACCACAAACAACAAAGCAAACCCCACCCCCAAAAAAACCCTGTTCAGACATGGAGCTTTAAAGTGCAGACCTGTACATAGAAAGTACGGCGTGAATGGAAGTCCTAGTATGGTGTCTACTTCTAGTGTCAAATACCACAGTGCATTTTGGTTCAGATGAAACAAGATGCTCAAATAAGGCTTTATTGCTATCACTGGTCAATGAACCTTTTAGTGCTACTACAAGTCACACACACTCTTGCACACTCGTCCTTGTGCTAGTGCTGTAGTGACATCTGTCTCCCTAATGAAATGTAATACCTTAGGAAGAAAGGAACAGAATCAACCCAGATGATCACAAAAAGGACGAAGGAATGTAAGTCCTTGGAAATAGAGCCTGGGTCCTCCAGCACGCCTGAGTAGCGTCTCTGCCTTAGCTGGCCTGAAGATTAATGGCTGCTAAATCCACACTGCTTTAATTTTCTTTTAAGTCTTGTTGAAATATACTGTCTTCTTTGAAAATTCTCGGTTCATAATAATGTCTGGGAAGACAAAGAGGATAAACAAACCTCCCTCTGCTTTCTAAGTATTTTTTCTCTTGTGAGACTAGTAGACGTCTATGTTTATTGGGGGGGGGGGAGTATCAAAGAATTTATAAACTAAATATCTAAACCAAAGAAAGATAATGTGAATGAATCACCTTTATTAAATGCTCCTAGGTTTGGAACTTTTGACTTTGGAAGGAAGATGCCACTGATTCCCCCTTAAAACATTCTGTGTGTCTGTGGTTGTAAACAAAGTTTGTCATCATCAGGCACAGGTTGCAAACTCTTTAAGCCCTTAATACTTACCCCAAATTTATTTACTTTATTTATTAGAATAAGAGCTGCAAACAACTTAACAAAAGAGTGTACGTAATAAAATCCCTAGAGGGATCAGATCCAATCATGAAATGGGACTTGATTTAGCTCATAGCAAGTGAACTTATTTGCTGTTTTCTTTGGGCATGGCACCACTTCCTCAAAACTAGTTCTGAGAAAACTGGGACGAGGTGCAATTCCTATAATTATAATAGTACCAGAACAAGTTTTTCTGCTAGACAATTCAATACATGCAATTCACAGCCCAATGCTAAATAAGTTTTTACAATTCTTCTGAGGTCAATGACAATTACTTCCTATTTAATACGCATATTAATTATCTTCATGAGATCCACCCTCATGCAGCAGCTGATTTTCTGTCCCATCTTCCCCCTAGCAGTCCTGCAAGCTCCTAGAAAAGGCACCTCCAAGGGTTGGAAGACCCTTCTGAATGAAGTGGGCCATGACAACCCCATACATAGAAAATGATTCCATGCATTTTTCTGTGCCTTCCTCCTTTCTGCTTAGCCCCTTGTGTCACAGGCTACCCCAAGCATTTTATGGGTGGCTTCTAGGGTTGTTGGGGTGAGGATAGGAAGGCAAAGCCAACATTGGCCTACGCTGTGGACAGATCTCTGGACCCAACTTCTTCATCATTTTCTTCTTTTTCTTCTGATTATTATTGTTATTCATGACCATCACTATACATAGCGTAGCACAGAGTTGCATAGTAAGCAAAATACTGACAGGCCCCTCCCCACCCCTCAAAATCTTAGACCACAACTCAAATTGTCCCTTTGGATGCCCCAGTATGGCCTAACAACATGAAGAACCTATATTGGCCTCTGGCTAAGAATTGGCATTTCTCTCATTCACCCAGGAGATTGATTTGGCACAAGATCTCCTTTCGCTCATTCCTTAATCTCTGTTGATGTCAAGAGGTCTTCCACGTGTTGTTGACCTCCATTTCCCATCAGCCTCAGGCCAATGGTCAGTCATGGTGGGAGCTGAAACTATACACACATTCACAACCTGTTCCTTATTGCTTTCAGACCAAGGTCTGGATTAAGTAAATTAATCCTGATCCTGAATAATGAAAGCCAGAGGCTGAGACTCCTTGATGCATAAGACTAATGCCATTGTTACATTTTCGCTTCTCTTCCTCTCTCTGTGTTTTGAAGGAAGGATGATACGCAGGAGAACTATTATTCAACCTTTCCAAGGTGATGGGAGACCTTGTCCTTCGCTAATGGAGCAGTTCAAACCATGTCCCGTAAAGCCCTGTTATCGGTGGCAGTATAGTCAGTGGGCTGAATGCAAAGTTGAGGTAAAACAAAAGTTTGAAGCCTTTCCCTCTATCTCATCCTCAGATACACACACACACACACACACGGCTTATTATATTGTTTATTAAGTACCTCTAAACTTCATTCTAATGAGGTATCAAAAGGTGAGGTGAGCACTAGCTCAGACTTTTTAAGTGAAATGGAAACCATCCTGTCTCACTCTTGTGACTCAGTTTCCAGTGTTTAGCAAGGAACGTCTCATGAGGACTATAACATTTCAGAATCCATGTTTGAATAAGCAAAGTTACTATCTGCCCATCATTACAGAGCTGTTGTGTCAGAAGGAAAGATTCTACCCGAGTCTTACCTCTGACATGCTGGTTTTCTTTGTGTAAGGAAAGTTTAATGCAGGAGCACAAACTTATTTTTATTCTATTCATTTCTTCAAATGTATATACTACTGGAGTGTAAGAAAAACACACAAAGCAGTTTACAAAAAGCTACAGTCACAAGCACATTCTGGCATGGTGCAACCTCTTTCTGAATATTTGTGGTAGCATGGTTCAAGGCAACAGATCTAAAAGATCTGGGGGTTTTGCTTAATTAGAAAGCCTACATGATTCCAGATGGAAATTCCACACTCAAAAGTAAACTTAACATACCCACTGAATGTTGATTGAGTAAAATGACTTTCTGTTATTTTACATTCAGTAAGTACATTATGATAAGACTTTTGTTTGCCTGTTCACTATGAAAGTATGCCTGTTGTCATTCATAAAATTAGAAAATATGCACAGCTTGATTTCTCTCAGATCTCTTTTGTGCTAGGCTTAAGGAGATGCCAGAATGCTAAGAGATCAGAAACTAAACAAGATATGGCAGAAGCACTAGCCTTGGCTACCACAAATCATGTGAACTTGGGCAAGCTAAATAGGATTGATAAACTTGGGCTGCCTGCCAGCTGAGAAGTCCCATTGAACATTTGTGGAATTCTCTTCACCCTAGTGAGGAAGTAGAAGCATTGGCTTTCTCCACCTGCAACTTAATCCTTTTTATGGTTCTCTTCTTCCAGAATGCTCAGTGTGGAGAAGGGACAAGAGTCAGAAACATTTCCTGTGTGGTCTATGATGGATCCAGCGATGATGCTGGGAAAATAGTGGATGAAGAATTTTGTGGGGAAATTGAGCCGGTTGTTGATGGCAATAAGAAAATGGTGCTTGAGGAAACCTGTACCCTACCTTGCCCAGGTGACCAGCTGTGTTTGCATGAATAATGAGTCTCTGTTGAACCTTAGAAGGTTATGTTCTTTCCCACATTGCACTGCTGTATGCTACAGCAAGTCAGAGGAGTCTTCTGCCCACTCAGTTTCATAAGAATGTGATCTATCGTTGTAACACTAATATTTTCTTACCAGCAAATTATGTAGCCCCTTGTGTGGTTGCACTGGCAACCCAGACAAAAGGGAGTAGGCAGGATTAGATCCTTATAAGAGAGGGAACCCAAAGGTATGCAGGAAAAACCTGCATTTAAGAAGCCCCAAACTCAGCAGGGCCCAAAGGTTGCACATGGATGCAGTACTCATGCTCCAAGTGTCAGCAAACAGTGTTAGAGAGCAGCAGGCTGATGTGAGCTCTCAGACCTGCTGTGGGTTAGGCTCAAGGGTGAACTCCCTTCCCGTAGTTCCTCCTGCTTTCAACTTGGAGCCAAAGGAGAGAAGGAGCAAGCTTTGCTTTTGGTCCTGATGCTAGCACAGGGCCATGAACACCTGAGATGGATTTAGCCTGTAATTATTCCAATTTAATGTGATTTCCCACCCACCTTTTAAAAGTAAATGTTCAGAAGCAATTACAGCCTGTACTAATAGCTCTGAGCCAATTGTTCTCTAGTTGTCCTTCAGTTTCCACCAGGTGCTGATTTGGGTGAAGGTAATTCCCCCATTCAAAAGCCCTTAATCTTACACATTGATGGCTGTTCATTACTGTTCACAACTGCTGTTTCGCCCTTTGGCTGCTGCTATTTGTCCCTCTGTTTCATTCCTCCCCAAGCGATTTAGGCCAATCTGGGGTCACACATGACACCACAATGTTTAAACTGGTTTTGTGTTCATTATTGTCCTTAATGATGACAAAATAATAATAATGATGATGTAAACTGCCTTTGGCACTCTTGTTAGGGCTGGAAAGAGGCATACAATGTTTGTATACATATAAAAATAAACTAAGATTTTGCTACATGCTGACATCACTAAGGGCAAATGAATCCCATTAGAATGGAGTTGATGCACTGGCCATATGGGCACTATTAGCCAATCTAAGATCACTCTTATGAATCAAATGCTTTCTTGGGGCTTTTATAACAATATTTGAAAGAATGATTATGGGCAGGGCTGTAGGTTCAGATAAAGTTTTTAACAAAACTTGCTCTCTAATGTCAACTCAGTACTGGATCCTAACAGCAGATTTGAACAAGTGCTACAATGTTTCAAGCTCAGATTTATTGCTCTTTAACAGATAATCTTTAAAAATATAGAGGGCGGGGGGTGGGATGTTGTTGCAGTTCACTCATAATTTTGTAGAGGAAGTGACCTTTGCTAGAATGGCCCCACAATTCACCCAAGAAAAGATTAACTGCCCTCTGGGGATGGGTTAATGATGCACTCTAGTTAATGTTTCCAAAGAACACTACATGCCCTCCTATTATACATACATCGTTTATTCAATAATTCATTTCTTTACGCGAGTCCTTAATGTTAGCAAATAAAATCCCCTTCATTAAGGCATCCTGTTAAACATGGAGTTGATTTTATTTGTTGTCAACATAATGTAAGGCAACATGAATTTTTAATGGTCCTTTTGCTAAAATAATTAAAGCTCCAAACTCATTTGCAAGCCTAGATGCCTTTTTCACTTTATGGCCTCCATACACAGGGCACGATTGGCAAAGCTGACTTTCCAGAAAACCCACGTTCACTTAACATGCTGTGTTTTGTGTGGCTCTGAAGCCGTAAGAAAGCTTTGGGTGTGATATATATTCTTTGCTGCTTTCGGATCGTGAATACCGAAATACCAGATATACCAATGAGCAGATTATCAGTTCAAACAACCAAGTCTTTTTGTGCCATCACTTTGGGGCTTGGGTGAGGTTTATTAAAAACTATGCTGGGGCAGGAGATCCATTATTTGCAACCAAATAATCCAATACAAATCTTTAAGACTAAGGTTGTGGCATAATGTTGCAAATCCCTCTTGCTAATTAACTTCTTCATTAATACTTTTTGCATTATTGGGCAGGTGACTGTTACTTAAAGGAGTGGGCAGAATGGAGCCTTTGTCAGTTGACCTGTGTAAATGGCGAAGATCTTGGCTTTGGGGGAATACAAGTTCGATCTCGAGCAGT